GGTTTGGACCATCTTGTGGGGGAAAAGCAGATTACTTCCTACTCGCGAGCGCCCCCTCTGGTGGGGAAACTTTTTTTCAGGGATACAAACTTTTTCAGAACACTGGTAGATGGCAGCCATTACAGACAAACATGTGTTTGTTGTTGTTCTAGGAGTGGCTCGGTCACACGCTAATGTCATTAGTTCGTTATCATTACTAAGCTGCAGGACTGCTTTCCCCGCCCTTTTCATGTCGCCATCATGTCGCTTGCTTGGATCTGTTACTATCTYGCTCTGAAGCATGGAGGAGTGTCAGAGGTGAGCTCGTTTCAACTGCTTTTTATGACGCTGTCTCATTTCTGGACTCAGGCATTTTGCCGATATTACAGTTAAAATACATAAGTAAAATATTTATCTGAGTATAACCAACTTTATGAATGATTTTATGGATTAAATTTTACATATTATACTTGAATAAATACGGTAATAGTTAGATACAAGACATTTACCCAAAGCTTCGGTTCGTTTTGACTCCAGTGGAATCAATCTCTTGAAAGTGTGTAAAAATATACAGTATTATAACACAGCAAGCCTTGCTTTGAAATAAAAAACTAACTCTTTTGAGGTAAGTTCAGACATCTTCTTGTTAAAAAAGGCATTAATTTATTTTATGCACAAGCAGTTCAATTTTTCTTTATTGGTCTCCAATCTGAAGAGGGTCACTTGCACCAAGCATACCACTAAAGATTAATTCACATTCACTTCTTTATCTGTGTCAATTCTAAGAAGCATCAATGCTTTACTCTAACTGGTCATTTTTAAGTCTGGTTCAATTCCTGAGTTTGTCATTAATAAACAGTTTTATCCCTGTTGGTTTATTATACCACTTGTGAATACATTTACACAGTTCTTGAAATTTTACAGAACATAGTTTGTGTCTAGAAGAAAAGTTTATTTTTATTGAGCAGAGAGGTCCTTGTCGTGGACTCAGTATCTGAATTATCCATTTCACACTATCACACTAGGATCGTTCTGTGTGGAATTATTCTTTTGTATAAATGGATTTTCTTTTTGTGCACAGTCCAAAAACATGCATGTTTGGTTATTTAAAGACTCTAATTTTGACCTTAGGTGTAAWTGAATATACAGGGGTTGGACAATGAAACTGAAACACCTGGTTTTAGACCATAACATCCCTTTCAGACAGCTTCCTCTTGCATCCACAGTTAATCCTGTTGGATGTGGTTGGTCCTTCTTGGTGGTATGCTGACATTACCCTGGATACCGTGGCTCTTGATACATCACAAAGACTTGCTGTCTTAGTCACAGATGCACCAGCAAGACGTGCACCAACAATTTGTCCTCTTTTGAACTCTGGTATGTCACCCATAATGTTGTGTGCATTGCAATATTTTGAGCAAAACTGTGTTCTTACCCTGATAATTGACCCTTCACACTCTGCTCTTATTGGTGCAATGTGCAATTAATGAAGATTGGCCACCAGGCTGGTCCAATTTAGCTATGAAACCTCCCACACTAAAATGACAGGTTTCATCTAACCCCTGTATGTGTGTGTCTGCCTGTTAGACACCTGTCCTTCACAAAGGCAYCAGCCAGATCAGGGTTAAATGAGAGAAAGAAAACTGACATCTTGTTCAGAAACCAAAACACTCACCTGTACAGCTTTCCCCATCTTGGGCCACATGGTAGCCCTGGTCACAGACGCATCGGAAAGATCCCAGAGTGTTTTCACAAACTCCATGGGACCCACACTGTGTCTCATTGAGCCTACACTCATCAATGTCTGAAAACCACACAAAGCAGAGAAAAATCCAAAATGATTCAATTCAATTCAAATTCAAAAATACTTTATTGATCCCAGAGGGAAATTAGGTATTATATTAAGTTATTACATTAAATATTATATTATATTAATTATATTATATTATTAGACATTTTACTAAGCAACAATTTACACTTTTACAAATCTAAAACTCCATTCAAATTTTATTATTATTATTTTTAAACTTACTGGTACATAAAAAATGGCAAAGAAAAATGACTTAATTGGCAAACACATTTCTCTATATTTACTCACTGACTTACGTGGTTATTTTCAAGTGTTTGCGTGACTTCCTGTGACATTTTAAAAGACTGGAGTTGTTTGTTTTGGAAGTGTTTTCACTCGGCTTAAACTGATGAGCTCATAACAGCTTGTCCTAGTGGACAACTTCCAAATCAGATTGCTGCCATCTTATCTCCAATCAAAACGTGTGGATGGTTCAACTCCCTGCTCCTGCTGCTACTTTCTATCCTGAATAACCACTGATTCATTTAGAAGTATATGAAATAGCATTATGTTTAAGATTAGAGCTGTTTTAGGATGGCAGCAGTCCATTCTGGTATTGCTGCATTGTGAGCTTGTATATATGCAAACACCATTTCTCCAATTTAAAGCTATTCAAAAAACTATTAACAACAGATAAAATGTTAATTCACTATAATATTTACACTAATAATCACTTTAAAATGGCTGGAATATAGCTTTAAGCCAGTGGTGTGAAATGTGAAAAATTCAATACAGAACTGAACAAAAAAGGAAAAAGGGGCACAGATTATATGGTTCTATAAAACTATACACTCAGCCACACACACACACACACACACACACACACACACACACACACACACACACACAC